TCCCGGGGCCACTGATTCACTCCCCCTGCCACATTCAGAAAATAATACACACTGGGCAGAGGCTCCAGACCTGGCTGGTTTATGGAACTCATTCGCCAAGGTTGGTGGAAACTAGATGCTGATTCAAAGACACTTACATAAATAAGCAGATACCAAGTTGGAAAAAGGGCTGTGGGGGACTGAGGGGGGCTGTACCCCAGCTGCAGTGGATACCATAGAACAGTGATTCTCAATCTGTGGATTATGACACCCCTGGTGAGGTCAAATGGCCCTTTCATGGGGTTCAAATATCATAAACCCTGTATATCAGACATTTACATTGTGATTCACACCAGTATCAAAATTACAGTTATGAAGTAGCAATAAAAATAATTATATGATTGGGGATCCCCACAACACAAGGAACTGTATTAAAGGGTCACAGCATTAGGAAGGAACCACAGCCAGAGAGACACACTGATCCTCTTGGTGACTGCTCCCATGGAAGTCATGGGTGAAAGAGGGGCTGTGGAATCAGTGGGCACAGATTCAGATCCAGGGCCCATTACAGCCCATGCTGGGGCATGGCCCTGGGAAAATCCCCGGTTTTCTGTGCTGACAGAAAACACAGGCCTTTGTGGAGATTGCTGAGAGGAATGGATGTGTATTTGTGTACTTTACAAGACTTTTCTCGGACACCTGAAACCACAGAGACCACCAAACCCCATGTAGAATGGGCTTCTCTCTACAGGCACACCTATGACAAAGTTAAATTTATAAATTAAGCACAGTAAGAGATTATAACTGCTAGTCATTAAAACAGCCTACCATAATTAAAGTTTTTAAAACTTATGGACATTCTATTAAATATTTTCTGACCATGGTTAAACATGGAAAACTGAAGCAACAGAAAGCAGACCCTCATTTAAGTGAGGACCGTGGTCCATACAGGTTTGTGTTCTGATTGGATTATTCAATGTCTGTCATGGTTAAAAGACTTGGTCACCAGCAGATGGCGCTACTGGAAGGTGGTAGAAATGTTAGGAAGCCTTGTGGGAGAAAGTAGGTCACTGGGAGTGTGATTTTGAAGGGTGTATCTTCCACGTGCTCCTGAACTCTTTCTCTGTTTGTATCCTGTCCCTCACAAAGTGAGCAGCCCCCTCCACCACATAGTCCTCTCTTCACAGTGTTCTTCCTTACTACAGTCCTGAGGCCAGATAGCCAGTCTGCCAGAGCCGAAAACTCTGAACACAAGAGTCCTGGCTATCAGGCATAGAAAGCTGATTAATAAGAGCCTGTGCCATGGCACATTGTAGATGCTCAGTAAATATAAACACCCTCCCTTGGCTGCCCTTTGGTTCCAATTGTACAGCAATGTGAGTGGATGGGAGGGTAGATCCGATGTTTCTAAGCTCCGAATTGCCACTCAATACAATCAATCTCGGGTTTTGATTCCTACTGGCTGGATCCTTCCACCAGCAGCAGCAATAGGGACCACTGTTTAAAATCACTTATCATATGCTTGTTATGACAGCTGTGCAATGAATCACCTCAAAGCACACCCCAGGACATGAACCTTTCATTTACCCTTCTTGGATTTGTAGATGATTTGGAGTTCAGAGAGCAGGAGGGTTAGTTTGTTCCTGCTCTGTGGTCCAAGGCTCCCAGCTAGGAGGCTTGAATCCTCTCCAGCTCAGGACTGGAACCCTTTGTGGGTGTGATCGCTCTCATGTCTGGAAAGAAAAGCTAACCGCCTGCAACCTGTATTCAGCTTCCTGTGGTATGGAGGCTGTTTCCAAGAGGAGTGTCCCAAGGGAAGGTGCCCAGTGGATGCTGGAGCCCTAAGCAAAACTTAGCCTTGGTGATCAGTGTCCCCAGGAGCATATTCTGTTGTCTGGGTGGGCAGTTACAGAGATCCACCCAGGCTAAAGGAGAGCCATGAGCGCTGCTCTGTGGGGAGCATGGACGGGATATGGAGTGGCTGTCTCTGAAACATACAATTTCAACACTATGTTCCAGGTTCCCATATGAGCTCCCATTCCTCAAAAGTTACACAGGGTGAATGGTGCAATGACCTCACTCCTGGAGATGGATAGAACAAAGCTCCAGGTGGCTTGCCTTGGGCAAAGTAAACCAATGAACCTCAGCTACATCCCTGTAAAATGGGTAGAGAGCCTCTACCTCAGAGTACCACTGTGAGCCTCATACTATTTCAGAGTTTGTTGGAAAGGATAAAGTTGGAGGTTATTCATGATTTATGACTGTCTTAGGGTTTTATTGCTGTGAACAGACATCATGACTGTGGAAAATCTTATAAAGGAAAACATTTAATTGAGGCTGGCTTACAGTTTCAGAGGTTTAGTCAATTACTGTCATGGTGAGAAGCATGGCAGCATGCAGGTAGACCTGGTGCTGGAGAAGGAGCTGAGGGTTCTACATCTTGATCCACAGGCAACAGGAAGTGAACTACGACGCTGGGTGTAGCTTGAGCATAGGAGACCTCAAAGCCCACCGCCACAGTGACGCAGTTCCTCCAACAAGGACACACCTCCTAATAGTGCCACACCTATGGGAGCCATTTTCTATCAAAACACCAAACTAACATTCCAAGAAACATCAGATTTTCCAGGCATGGCACCCTTATCTCCTTCACGTGTGGCCACCTGTCACACATATTAAACCTAACCCTCCCATATTCAGCCATGATCCAAGATTTCCCGACGTTATCCTGGAGGAAGAGCAAGGCTTGCCTGTGCATTCTGGTTGTTACTCAGTTGACTGCAGCAGGTGCTGTCTCTGATTCATTCCATCTTCCAAAAGGGGAAAAAAAATCACTGGGAACCTCATCAGAGGAAAGTTGTGTAAACTTTCCTCACCATTAAGTGGATTATTAACAGACCCTTTGTTCACATTCATAAAGAACCATCTATTGCTCATATCTCTCTCCCCAGGGAGGAGTTTCTAAATTACTTTGTATGTTCCAGGAGAAAGCTTCTGGTCCTTGAAGGGACCATGGCCCATCACTGGAAAATCTTCTCCTAAGGACTTATCTCAGATTCATATTTCCTCTTCATTGTCAATTTTCCTGTCCCCTATGCTTTAAGAGATCCCTGTCTGTGGGGCTGGGTGGGTAAGAATCCTCACCTGCATGAGAACTGAGTTCAAATCCCCAGTACCCACATAAAAAGCTGGGCATAGCTGGGTGCATGCCTGCAAACATAGCACTGTAAGCAGCAGGGGCACGAGGTTGCTGGAAAATGGCTGCCTATCCTCCTAGCTCTAGGTTCAGTGAAAGGTCCTTTATAAGGTGGGGCATGATGGAGCAGAACACCCAATGTCCCCCTCCAGTCTCCATGCATGCACACATTTATAAATATACCACACACACATACATACATAATACATACACTACACATATCCACACACACACACATATACCACACACATATATACCACACACATACACACACACACACACACACACACACACACACACACACACACCACACCACACTTTCTCTGAGGCCCATGAAATAGACATTTGGCTCTCTTGTTAGAGTCATTGAGGAAATAGAAAAGGCATAGTGCTCACCACTAGAATATCAAGGAGCCCTGAGTGACAGCTTTCCTTTTGGGTCTCAAGCCACCTCATCATCAGGTGGCAGGCTTCTGTGAGAGGTTCGGGAGCACTCACTGGGCAGGAATATCTAAACTGTAAATAGTGCTCTGGGATTAGCGGACACTAGAGGTGACCTCTATAACTTCAGGTGTCTGGGAACATATCAGGAGTATGACATGAGGTGTTGGAGCATCTGCTTGTTGGGCAGGGATGGCTGGGATTTGTCACTGTGAGGGGCTAGCTTCTAATTTGGCTCTGCCCATCAAGTAGAGAAACTCTGATCTGGGCATCAAATCTGCAGGCCTCAGTCTCATGCGATGCCTATCAGGGTACCATGGTGTGTGTGTGTGTGTGTGTGTGTGTGTGTGTGTGTGTGTGTGTGTGTG